TGGTCTGGTAGCAGTCTGTGGCTGCACAGCGGGAGGTGAATGGTGGGGCGAGCCAGCAAACTTCATCTGTATTTACAGCCACTCCCCATCCCTCACATTACCACCTGAGTCCCACCTCTTGTCAGATCAGTGGAGACATTAGATTCTCATAGGAGCGCAAATCCTATTGTGAACTGTGCGTTTGAGATACGTAGGTCGTGCACCCCCTATGAGAATCCAATGCCTGATGATCTGTCACTGTCTTCCGTCACCCGCAGATGGTACTACCTAGTTGCAGGAAAACAAGCTCAGAGGTCCCACTGATTCTGCATTATGGTGAATTGTATAATTATTTCGTTATATATTGCAATGTAATAATAGTAGAAATAAAGTGCACAATAAATATAATGGGCTTGAATCATCCTGAAACCATCCCCCCAACCCCCACCTTCTGTCTGTGAAAAAATAGTCTTTCATGAAACTGGTCCCTGTCGCCAAAAAGGTTGGGAACCATTGTCATAGAACACTAATACTTCCTCCTATCTAATTGCAATCTTGTACCCATTAGCAGACCTCTCCCTCTGCCCTTCCCAGCTTCTAGTAACCTCTACTCTACTCTGTACTTCCATAAGATCAGCTCTTTCAACTTCTAAGTATGAGTGAGAACATGTAATATTAGTCTTTCTGGCTTATTTCACTTAACATAATATCTTCCAGGCTCATCCATGCTGTTACAAATGACAGGATTTCATTCTTTTTCTTGCCAAAAGTATTCCATTGTGTATATATATATACGTATACATTTTCTTTATTCATTTGTTGATGGTCACTTGGCTTGATTCTGTATCTTGGCTGTTGGGAATAGTGTAACAATACACATAGAATGCAGATATCTCTTTCATATACTGGTTTTCTTTCCTTTGTGGGGGGATTACTGGATCATGTGGTATTTCTGTGTTTAGTTTTCTGAGGAACCACCACACTGTTTTCTGTAATGGCCATTTTAATTTACATTTGCACCAACGGTGTATAAGACTTTCCCTTTCTCTGCATGCTTGCCAACGCTTGTTATTTTTTTGTCTTTTTGATCAGGATATCTCATTGTGGTTTTGATTTGCATTTTCCTAATAAGTGACAATGTTGAATATTTTTCATATAACTTTTGGCCATTTGTATTTTTTCTGTTGAGAAATGTCTATTTAGATCATTTGCCCTTTTATGTTTTTGAATATGGGGGTCTTGCTTTGTTGCCTAGGCTGTACTTGAACTACTGGGCTCAGACAGTATCTGCCTCAGCCTCCCGTGTAGCTGGGACTTCAGCACACAACCACCAGCTCATGTGCTCATTTAAAAATCAGATTGTTTGCTTTTTTGCTGTTGAGTTGTTTGAGTTCCATATGTCCTGCTTATTAGTCCCTTGTTGGATGCACAGTTTCAAATATTTTCTACCCTTCTACGGGTTGTCACTTTATTCGTTGTTTCCTTTGCTGTGCAGAAGAGTTTTAGTTTGATAGAATCCCATTTATCTATTTTTGCTTTTGTTGCCTGTGTTTGTAAAAAACTTTGCCCGGACTAATGTCAGAAAGCATTTCCCCATGTTTCTAGTAGTTTCATAGTTTTATGTCTTCAGATTAAAGTCTTTCATCCATTCTCAGTTGATGTTTGTATATGGTGAGAGATAGGGGCCTATTTTCATTCTTTTGCATACTTTCTTAGCACCATTTATTGTAGAGACTGTCCTTTCCCCCAGTGTATGTTCTTGGTGTCTTTGTCAAAAATCTATTGACTGTAAATACATTCATTTATTTCTGGGTTCTTAATTTATTCTTTTCCATTGGTTTATATATCTGTATTTAAGCCAGTACCATGCTGTTTTGGTTGTTATAGCTTTATAGTGTATTTTTAAGTCAGGTAGTGTGATTATCTCCAGCTTGTTCTTTGGCTCAGGTTTGCTTTGACTATTCAGGGTCTTTTGTGGTTTCATATCAATTTTGGGGTTGTTCTTTCCATTTCTGGGAAGGATGTTATTGGTATTTTTGATAGAGATTGCATTGAATCTGTATATCACTTTTGGCAGTATGGACATTTTAACAATATTAATATTCTAATCTGTTAACATGTAATGTCTTTTTATTTTTGTGTCCTCTTAAATTTCTTTCATCAGTATCTTATAGTTTTCATTGTAGAGATTTTTCATCTCTGGTTAAATTTACTTCTGGGTATTTTTTATTTCCTAACTATTGTAAACAGGATTACTTTCTTAGTTTCTTTTTCGAATTGTTCATTATTGGCAAATAGAAATGCTACTGCTTTTTGTATAATGAGTTTGTATCCTGCAACTTTACTGAATTTGTTTATTAGTTCTAACAGTGTTTTGGTGGAGTTTTTAGGTTTTTCTAAATCACATTGTCTGTGAATGGGGACAGTTTGAATTCCTCCTTTCCAATTTGGATGCCCTTTATTTCTTTCTCTTGCTTAATTGCTCTGGCAAGGACTTGAAATACTATGCTGAATAGCAGTGGGGAAAGTGGGTGTCCTTGTCTTATTCCAGATCTTAGAGGAAAAGCTTACAACATTTCCCCATTCGGTATAATATTAGTACTTATATGTTAGTTGTAGGTTTGTCCTATATGGCCTTTATTGTTTTGAGGTATGTTGAGACCTAATTTGTTGAGACATTTTATCATGAAATAATGTTGTGTTTTATGAAGCACTTTTCCTCCATCTATTAAAATGATCATATGATTTTTGTCCTTCATTCTGATGATGTGATTTATCACATTTAGTGATCTGCATAAGTTGAAATATCCTTGCATCCCTGGATAAATTCCACTTGATCATGATATATAATCTTTTCGATATGCTGTTAGATTCAATTTGCTAGTATTTTGCTGAGAAATTCTGCAACTACGTTCATCAGAAATGTTGGCCTATAGATCTACTTTTTGGTTGTATCCTGGTCTGCTTTGGGCATCAGGGTAATGCTGGTCTTGTAGAATGAGTTTGGAAGAATTCCTTCCCATCAATTTTCTGGAATAGTTGGGGAAAAAATAGTAGAATTTATCAGTGAAGCTAATCAGTCTAAAGGGAGCAATTTTGAAGCCTTCCACAGATACTCTCAGATCCCACCTATGGCCACCTCTGCTGGCTTCGACCAAAACCTACCTGCTCTAAGGCAATTCTCCCTCATCCTCCAGAATCGTAGCGGGGAGTTGCTTCTTTCTGCATATCCATAAAGGGATTTTACAAGCAAAGACGACATTTCTGTTGCTCCTCCCTTACTTTCAAAGCAATTCCTGGTAGAGTTCAACAGAGAAGGGGGTCTGCACAGTCCTTTGTGGAGTCTGCAGGGCTGTGCATGTGAACCATGTGGGGCCAAGGACACAAAATCCTAACTATGATCTGGTCTTCACTCCTCAGGGAATGGGGCCAACTCATATTTTAGCCTGAGTCAAATAGATCTAAGTTTGAATTCTACTTCGGCCACCATCTAGCTGTATAATGTTGTGCCTCTTAATTTTTCTGAGCCTGATTTCCACATATGCAAAATAGGGATAACAACATGTATTTTGCAGGGTAGTCATGAGGCCTGCATGATTGAAATGGCCATGCTGTGTACTAGCTGTGTGACCTTAAGCAAGTCATTTAACCTCTTCATACCTCTGTACTTATGGGTGTTATGAGGTATGAGTGAGTTAATATTTGCAAAAAGCACGACTGTGCCTTGTGCATACAAAGCATCACTTAGTGTTGACTATTGTTAATATTAAGGCATATAAACTGGCTGACATGCAAAAGCCCTTCAATAAATATAAATTCTTTTATCTTCTCCTTCCCAAATCCACAGGCTCTGGCTAGAGGAGTCTGGTTTCTCTGAGGCCACCACAGAGTTCCAGGCAGCCTGTTTATCTGGATTTGAGTAGTTTTAAGTAAGTGGCCTTGGTTCACCTTTGAGCACCCAAAAAATAAAGTAACAGAGACACCTAGTGGGAGCTGGCAGCAAGTGCTCCAGCAAGTCTGAGTGCCAGTGACTGCCTGGGGTCAGGTGGAGACCTAGAGGATGGTACCGCTGTGGCCCATGAGTGTACAATGAGACCACCAGGCTTTTCGGAGCTATGCCAATGCAGCCTTCACCAGTGGGAAGCCCTGCTTATCCACCCTGAAGCTGGGTCTTGTCTCCAAGGCTCTGTTCTGAACAACCTCCAGGGGCAGAGAGTCTGTTGCCATTTCAGCTCACACTGATGGACCTAGCCTCAGGTCGTGGTGGAGGATGTAGGAGAACAGACAGGTTCCTGCTTTGAGGAGCTGGCAGAAAATGATTGAGCTTAGCACTTTTTTTTTTTTTTTTGCTGTGTGACCTTGGATAAATCATTTAGCATCATTTAGCATCTCTGAGCTCCAGTTTCCTGCTTTGCAAAAACAGAGTTAGTAATAGTGAGGATGGTTTAAAATGATGGATGTGGCCAGGTGTGGTGGCCCAAACCTGTAATCTCAGCATTTTGGGAGGCTGAGGCAGGCGGATTGCCTGAGATCAGAAGTTTGAGACCGGCCTGGCCAACATGGTGAAACCCCATCTCTACTAAAAATACAAAATTTAGTCAGGCATGGTGGTGCATGCCTGTAATCTCAGCTACTTGGGAGGCTGAGACAGGAGAATAGCTTGAACCCAGGAGGCGGAGGTTGCAGTGAGCTGAAATCATGCCACTGCACTCCAGCCTGGGCAGCAGAGTAAGACTCCATCTCAAAAATAAATAAATAAGTAAATAAATACATAAATAAAATGATGGATGTAGAAAGTGAAGCACTGAGTCCACGGCCATATCTCCTTGAATGCACTCAAACTTGTCTGATCTCAGAAGCTAAGCAGGATCGGGCCTGGTTAGTAATTGGGCATGACAAAGTTAGCACCGTGTTGTTGACACACAGAAAGCACCCAAAAAATAGTAGATAGTGTTGTCATCGTTATTATTTTGTGGTAGATAAATGCACATGAAATAATTAGGGAGTAAGTCCACACAATATTGAACCAAGTGAAAGTCATCATAGTTTATAGCAGGTGAGACGGGGCTCATTCCGGAGCTGCAGTGGTTAGATGAGGCCTCATGGAGGAGACCAGATCTCTGATGAGCCTCTGACTGCAGCAACAAACAAATCATCCTCACATTGGCTGAAGCAACTGTGGGGTGTGTCGGCTCATATAACTTGGTAAGGTTTGATCCAGCACCTTGATGATTTCACGAGGTCCCAATCTTTTCTTTTAAAAATATTCTTGTGACATAAAAACATACAAAAACATTTAGAAAACAACATAGCATTCACCTTAGGAAATAAAATAGCAAATATACTTGAGACTTCCTGATCCTTCCCCAGTTGCATCTCCCCTTCCCCTACCCTGCAAAGAGAACCACTCTCCTAAATTTGGTGTTTATACATCCCGTGGATGCATTTATGCTATTACTACATATGTGTGTGTTCCTAAACAACATATGGTAGAATTGCATGTTTTAAACCTTTTTATAAATATATCACAGAGTATGCATCTCTATTTGTCTGCTTGAGATGCTTAAAAAAATACCATAGATTTAGTGGCTTAAATCACAGAAATTCATTTCTCACAGTTCTAGAGGCCAGGAAGTCCAAGCTCAAGGTGCCAGCCAGGGAGGTTTTATTCTGAGGACTGTTCTCTAGTCTTGCAGGCAGCCACTGTTTCTCTGGGTGCTCATATGACCTCTTCCTTGCACTTGTACAGGGAGAGAAAGAGAGAGAGCAAGTGCTCTGACATCTTCTCATAAGAGACCCATCCCCAGGACTCCGTCTAAAGCTAATGATCTCCTAAAGACCCCATCTCCACACACATTCACATTTGGGGTAGAGTTTCAATATGTTAATTTGGGGGAGATGCAGATATTCGGCTCATTTCATTCCAATTCTGCCCCCCACAAAGTTCATGTCCTTCTCACATGCAAATATATTCATTCCATTCCAGCCATCCCAAAAGTCTGAATTCATTCCAGCATAAACTCTAGTTCTAAAGTCCAAAATCTCAACTAAATGTCACCGAAATTGGGTATGGATGAAAATCGAGGTACAATTCATTATGAGCAAAACTCCTCACCAGCTATGAGCCTGTGAAACCAGACTAGTAATGTATTTCCAAAATACAATGGTAGGAAGGGCATAGGATGAACATTCCCATTCCAGATGGGAGAAATCAGAAGAAAGAAAGGGTGACAGGTCCCAAGCAAGTTCAATACGTAGCAAGGCAAATTCCATTAGACCTTAGGGGTTGAGAATGATCCTCTTTTGCTCAATGCTCTGTCCACCCCCTATCCTAGCCCATTGGAGTGGTAGCATTGCCCCACCATGCTCTATGGCAACCTCACCTACACAACTCTGTGATGGCCATCTGGTCCACTGAAACTGAGAAGAAACCAACCTTGCTTCTTGGTTCTGCAGTGGGAGTGGCAGCCCTAATGATCTCTGAATTGCCTTCAGGGTCATTCTTGCCATTTCTTGAAGGACAAAGCATATTTCTCAACTGAGAAATTTTACCATCCTGCTCTGTAGAATTCCAATATCTGACAGCCTTTTTTCAACCTGTCTCACTCTCTCTGTCCCCTTTTGTTCAAACTGGCAGTGCCTAACATCTATCTCTGGCTCCTACTGAGCTGGCCAGCTAAATCCACGAGTTGCACCTATGATCTCTTTATCAAATGGCTGACAAGCCACACCCTTAGTGTTCGCTGCAGAACATGCTGCTGCTGCTTCTGCTGCTGTTTCTTCTTCTTCTTCTCCTCTTCTTCCTCCTCTTCTTCTTCTTCTTCTTCTTCTTTCTTCTTCTTCCTCTTCCTCTTCTTCTTCTTCCCTCCTCATCCTCACCCTCTTCCTCTTTCCTCTTCTTCCCTCCACCTCCTCCTCCACCTCCTCCTTCTTCTTCCCTCCTCCTTCTTCCCTCCTCCTCCTCCTTCTCCTTCCCTCGTCACTGCCTCCTCCTCTTCCTCCTCCTCCTCCTTCTTCTTCCCTCCTCCTCCTTCTTCCTTTTCTTATTCTTCTTCCTTCTCCTTCTTCTTTCCTTCTCCTCCTCCTCCTTCTCTCCTCCTCCTTCTACTACTTCTTCTTCTTCTTTTCTTCTTCTTCTTCCTCTTCTTCTTCTTCCCTCCTCCTTCTCCTCCTTCTTCTTCTTCCCTCCTCCTTTTTCTTCTTCCTCCTCCTCCTTCTTCTTCCCTCCTACTCCTCCTTCTTCCCGCCTCCTCCTTCTTCTTCTTCCCTCCTCCTTCTTCCCTCCTCCTTCTCCTTCTTCCCTCCTCCTTCTCCCCCTCCTCCTCCTCCTCTTCTTGCTTCTTCTTTCTTCTCCAATATGGACAGGCTGAGAATCTTCCAAATCTTCAAGCTCTGGGTCCTTTTTGATTAACAATTTTTTCAACTTATCTCTCTTCTCTTTCATTTTACTATAAGCAGTAAGGAGAAACCAAATGACTCCTTCAACATTTTGCTTAGCAATGCCCTCTGCTAAACATCCAGTTTCATCGCTTGTAAGTTCTACCTTCAGTAAAACACTAGAACACAATTCAGCCAGGTTCTGTGCCACTTTGTAACAAGAATCACCATTCCTCCAGTTTCAAATAAACTGTTTCTCATTTTCAGCTGAAACCTCACCAGTATTACGTTTAGCAACCGTGTTTCTACCAATGTTTCCTTTAAGGGAATCTAGGCTTTTCCTAGCACGCACCTCAAAACTCTTCCAACCTTTATGCATTACCCAGTTCCAAAGCCACTTCTGCATTTTTAGCATTTGTTATGGCAACTCCCTGCTTCTTAATACAAAAATCAGTTTTAGTCATCTTGGGACGTTATAACGAAATGCCACAGATTAAGTGGGTTAAGCGATAGAAATTAATTTTCTCACAGTTCTAGAGGCTGAAATTTCAAGTTCCAGCTGATTCAGTTTCCGGTGAAGTCTCTCTTCCTGCCTCACAGATGGCCACTTTCTCACTATGGACTTTTGTGTGTGTATGTGTGTGTGTGTGTGTGTATGTGTCTGTGTGTGTTTGTGTGTGTGCGTGTACAGAGAGAGAGAGAAAGAAAGAGAGAGAGACAGAACACATCTCTAGTGTCTCCTCTTATAAGGACATTATTCCTATCAGATCAGGGCCACACCCTTCTGACTTCATTTAACCTTAATTTCTTCCTTAGAGACCCATCTCCAAATGCAGCCACATTGAAGGTTAGTCCTTCAACGTATAAATTTAGGGAAACACACGTTCATATTCTAACATGGATTTATACGGATTAAAGAGAAATTGTAAATGGTTTGATCAGATGGTCAGGTAGTTGGAAAGAACAGGACTGGAGGATTGGGGACAGGGAAGTGTGGGAAAGTTATGTGGATGGACGCCTCAGCATGGGCAGACTGTGAAAATTTTCATGTCCCATGGGATTGCTCATCAAAAGACATCCTTTGCAGATCAGAGGAGGCTTTCAATAGTCAGGAGGACCAAATGATATACTCTATCAGTGTCAGTCAGTATATTTTCCCAGCCACCCCAGGGCTTGCTCAATGGACTTACGGATAAACTGGTCATGGCAGTGGAGATAGAGCTATGCATAAGCCCAACAACGTGGATTTCCCCTCACCAAGTCTGATCTGGCTATAGTTAAATGAATGCTTAACTTGCCAACAGCAAAGATAAACACCAACACCTGATATGATACCATTCCCTGAAGGGACCGGTCAGCCACCCAGTGGCAGGTTGATTACATTGGTGCTCTTCTATTCTGAAATTGGGCAGCAATTGTTCTCACTGGGATAGACACACATTCTGGACAAGGATTTCATTTCCCTGCCTGTGATGCTTGTGCCTGTCTCACCACCCGTGGGCTCACAGAATGCCCCATCCATGTTCAGAGCATTCGCAAAGGCAGTCTGGTCAAGAAATATATCTCTCAGCCAAGGAAGTATAGTAGTGGGTTATTGCTCTTGGGATTCATTGGTACTTCCACATACCCGATCACCTGGAAATAAATGGCCTTATTGAAAGGTGGAATAGCTTCTTGAAGACTCAGTTGCACCACCAGTTGGAAGGCAGTGTCCTGAAGGCATGGGGTTCTGTGTCAGAAGGTGAAGTATGTCCTTTGAATCAGAAACCATTATATGGCATTGCCTTCTCCATGGCAAGAATTCATGAGTCTGAAAATCAAAGGGTAGAAGTAAAAGTGGTTCCTCTCTCCCTTATACCTATCACCCACTCACAGAATTTTTGCTTCCCATCCTGGCATCTTGGAGCTTTGTTGGTTTGGAAGTCTTAGTTCCTAAGGGGAGAATGCTTATATCAGGGGACACATCAGTGTAGGGTCATTGATTGGGAGATGAGAATGCCATCCAGCTATTTTGGGCTCTTTATATTATGGTACCATCTAGAAGAACAGGGTTTTAGCTTTTGTTTTTTTCTATTGACAGGAGTGATTTATTCCAGTTCTACCAGAAGAAACTGGTTTGCAGCTACACAATGGGGCAAGGAGGGTTATGTCTGGAACTGAGGAAATTCTCTGGGGGAGGAGAGAGTTTGGGAGAGATGTGCCGGGGCAGCATACCTAGATCATGGCTTGAGTCCACCTCTTCTGTTGACAACATGAAAAACTCAAAATTAGGACTGTCTCTGTAGCCATTTCTTTGTCTCTTTGATGTGAGCCAGGTTCCGTATTTCCTGCTTCCAGGCCCAGCCCCAGCTCAGCCCTTGGGCACCCTGGGTTTGGCCTTCTGCACCATGCTGCTTCCCATGGTGAATGTTGATGCTGCAGTGTTTACAGAGACGTTCTTCCCCAGGACCCTCCTCCCCTATGATCTATGCTTTCTCTTTCACTTACTCAAATCGAGCCCAGTTCAATGTGTTTTCTGTTTCCAATAATTTTCCCTCAGACTGCGGCTCTTCCCTTCTGGAATGAATTGTTTGCCAGATATTTCTGAGACTCTCAGGAATTTAAACTGTTCCACCCTTTCCAGCCAGAGCCAGGCCCAGTTATCTTCACTGTGAGCCCCTGGGACTCTTCTTCCCTGCTCAGGATGCGCTCAGCTCTGCTCAGGGTGTTGTCTTCTCCTTTTGGGGGTGAGAATTTGTGGGTGATTTTATTATTTTGTGGCCAAGTCCTGCTGTGGCTGGTTTGGCGTATTTGTCCATGTCCTCAGGTTTGATGGGTCTCCTGTCACCTAATTTGGTTGAAGAGGTTAGAGGTGGAATTTGTGTTGTTGTGGCTGGGGTAGTGGGTAGTTGGGGATATGTGGTCTACCTGGTTGTCTCGAGAGGTTATAGGGAGACTGGAAAACCCACGGCCACCATGACCTCATTCCCCTTGAGTTGGATTCTTAGTTAATTGATTTTCTTTCTAAGGCGCTAATATATAGATTTTAAGGCTATGAATTTATCTCTAAATTCTGTTGTTTAGCTGAAGTCCATATGTTTTGATAGATAAGGCTCTGATGTTGCTTTATTTTTAAAGACTGGTTCATTTCAGCTTTGGTTTCCTGTTAGACTCATGATATCTATTTTCTAGATTGTGTTTTCCTTGGAAGTAGAGACTACCTCTCCATACATGGTTGTATCTTTAGTAATTACGTAGTGTCAGAGCTGGAGAAAGTGCTCGATAGTTTTTGTTTTTGAAATGGAATGAAAATAATGTTACATATTCCTGTTCTCTATCTGGTCCAGCATACAAACGAGACACAGCAAGAAAGAAGGAGTATTT